GGGGGGGTGAGGTTCTGAGCCTCACCTCTGTTGATCCCCAAATTCTCACCTGATGGCCCCCCTGCGACTGTGCCTGTCTTAGGTTGTTCCTCCCTTGAGGAATCTTACCCGTCTCTGGCTAACCAGTCATCTTCCGGGGCCATACAGCACTCTTCCCTATTTTTAATTCTATTTTTGGACTTCAGTTGCAAATAATTAAGTCAATTATATTTCTTATATGGCACATTATCATTTTTGATCCTTGCAAGGTCCCTCTTTTATAAATTTTTTTCTTTATGTACTTAATATCAGTAAGTTTAATTCCTGTTCTTCTTATGCCCCATTCTCTTCACATAGGCAGTTATTTTAGTCTGTTAATGCATATTGTCCAAGAGAAGGAGACAGCCTGCAGACTTCATCTCCACTATTGACTCTCCTGGATCTGCAGCCTGCCAGCCAACCCTACAGATAACACATGCACATATATGTGCCTCCTATGGGTTCTCTTTCTCTGGAGAACCACACTAATACAATACTCCATGGGAGGAATCACCATTTGTTGTCTACCCACTATCCTAGTGGCGGACAACAAATTGCCTTTAGAATCTATGTCATTTCAGAAATGTCACAGTGATCATCCCCATATGTGTCCCCTTACGGACCTGTGTGAGAATTTTTGGGGGTTCGGACCTAAATCATTTCTCAGGTCCAGAGTTCCTTGATTAAAGGGGAAGCCAGATCCCCTTGAGGAAGGACCCTGCGCCATTGCTACAAGACACACTGCAAATCTTCCTCTAATCATTCTGCAGAAGAAAACCAGTCCAACCATTAATAATATGTTTTGGTTCAATAATTACACACTGGAAATATGAAATTCGGTCAGAAGTTCCCTTAGACTAACTGTTTTAAAACTGTCTCTTAAAATGTCAAAAACATAACAAACAAACAACTGTCAAAGATCTCTAAAGAGTTTTTAATTTAATTAAATTGACCATTAGGTGAATTGATCTTTAAAAGCAGTTTTAAATTAATCAGCCCTTAGCTATTCTCCATTGCTGACACCTCGTGTATATTTTTATCTGTGGCTTTCCTGGACCATTTCTGTCTTTGGCTTCCCAAGTCGGTTCCCTGTGGGGGAAACTGAGGCCACTCAACTCAAAAGAAATTTGGGTGGACAGGTTGGAAGCCAAGGAATTGTTTGTCTTTCCTTCCTTCCTGCTTGAGCATCTGTAATCCTGGCCTTCAGCTGCGCAGACCAACATACACCCACCGACCTAGCGCTCCCAAGGTCATCACGCTCAGGATGGCCTGAAGGCAATCTCCACGGACGTGTATGGAGAAGAATGAAAGCACACCAAAAATCTAATTCATTATGTTTAATGAATCACGTTTTTATTGCAGTTGGCAGCAAAGGAGTCTTTTTACAGACAGGGCAGCATCTGAAGATGGAAAGAAGGCTTTGCTGAAGTGAAATGAATTGACGACACAAGAAAAGGCAGGCGAGGGTGTGGACCACGTTTGCTGAATGATTCTCCACAGTTCGGCAGGATCTCGTAGTCCCTCATCAGGACCTGGAGAGAATGTGGGTCTGGCCTCAGAGTAAAGGTGGTGATCAGGCAGCATCTATGCGGGTCAGAGTCAGACACCCTCGTTGGCCATGTACCTGTAGACAGTGGCAGACCTCAGAGGAGACATGAAGAGTGCTCCATCAATGAAGCGCAGCCTTGCAGAAGTTGGACTCGGGGCCTGGTTGGCAGGAAGTTGGCAAGCAGGTACTGGCTTTGCAAAGACTTGAGTGCAAGCAGTTGGAGCCACTACCAGACGGTCTGCCTTAACCTGTCACAGAGCAAGCTGGTTGGCAGGAAGGGGATTTGCAGTCACTTTGGTTGCAGGAAGAGGTTCCACTACAGGCTGGCTGGCCAGAAAGCATGGGGCTACAGGAAGTTAGTTTGCAAGGGTTCTTTACAAAACAAGGGGGCTGGCAGTTAGCCACTGGGTGGCAGATGAAGAATTTGGAAGAAGTCAGTTGGCAATGAAGTGGCAGGCAAGGGGACCCCCAGCACATAGCATCACAAGAACTGAATGCACGTGTCGGTGGTTGGCAGGAAACGGGCATGCAGGGACGTGACTGATGAGCCTTGAAAATGTAGCAGATGGGGTGGTCATAAGTCAATTTGCAGACCTGATCTTCACCACTGGGGGGCTGACATGCTCTTGGTTGGCAGCAAGTTGGCTGGCACCGACTGACCTCACAGACAGTTGGTGGGCAAGATGTTTCAGGGCAGGAAGTCACCTCAGAGCAGGATGGCTGGCAGTAGGTAGTGTCACAGCGGACTGATTGGCGACGAGCTGCCGGGTATGATCTGGACATGAAGACAGGTTCCTGGAAGCAGCTTTGTTGGCTGAGGCCGGCTTCACAGCAATTTGCCTGATAACCAGTAGATTCTGAGCAGGAGGACTGGCATGAACTAACCAGACGAGGAGACTGACCAGTGCCAGATTTACAGCAGCAAATGGGTTGGCAAACAAAACCCACACAAGAAGCTGCTGGAAGGCAGATAGGTTGGCAAGAAGCAGGTTCACAGCTATTTGGGGTACTGCAGGATGGCTGACAGGTTTCTTGGCATGTGGCCAGTTGCCATGTTTTCCTCTGGCAGGAACTAGGCAAACAGATACCATTTTGGAAGCTGCCGCCATTTGAGCATATGGAGGTGGTGGGCACAGCTGGAATGGCCGTGGCCTTTCCAGGACAACAGCTGTCCACCATGATGCGTTCTGATCTCACTGTGGATACTGGAGTCTGAAAGTCATCTGGTACCCAGGGGCTTTTATAGCCCTTCTCTAAGGTGTTGGCATGACATAGAGCATCTTTCCTTGTTATTGTTTCTACTCTTTTGGATGCAAACATCTGATTAGCAGGCTTCAGGAGCCTAGGAGATCTTGCCCCCCACTTTAAAAACTTGTCTGTCAAGTTGAGAGTTTTCTTTGCTGAGTTTGGATTTCCTGATGCTGCTCCTGCTCTGGGATGAGCTGCCTCTTTTACAGGTTGTTCTCCAGCCTTCCTGAAGCTGGCCTTGCCCTGCCCTAACCTCTCATCAGGAGGCCTGAGCCCAGAAAGACCAGCCTGCTCTTCCACCAGGAATGCGGTTTGACGCCTTTCAGACAATCAGGAAATGAAGCCTTGACCCAGCCAATGTAGGACAATGTCAAAGACGGCAAACAGAAAATCAGGCAGTGCATCTCCACGACATTTCGTTGTCTCTGCCACTTTCTAGAACCTTCCCACTTTGCTTTCTTGAAACTTAACTTTACCTGTACCATTAATAATAATAGTAATGGCTTCCACTTATAGCATGTTAACTATATGTCAAGTCTTGACTTCATTTTTCATCAAATCTTTGCAGTGACCTTAGTTAGTAGGTGTAACTGTCACCACTGTGTTAGAGGTAGTAAAATCAACTCAGAGTTTAAATTACTTTCTCAAAATTAGGCAAGTAACAAAGGGTAGAAAGCAGATCCAAAGCTAGGAGGGGCTGACCTCAGAACCTCTAATCTCAACCACCTATTAGACCTCCTGACTTTGGAGTAGAAGAGGGAGACTCTGATATGGTGACTGAAGGCTGGCATCTGCACAGCAGTGCACAGGCTTATGGGCAGATGGCCCAGACATGCTGGGGGGCACTGGGGGGCACTGGGGGGCACTCTGGCATGCCCACTCCAGTGACTATAATCATCAGCTAGATTAAAATGGTATGACCACTTACCTTTACTTATCAATATTGACAATCTTTTAATTTGGAAACTTAGTAACTGCAAAATATTTCACCAAAAAAGAAATAAACTCATACTATGGGGTCGACAGCATATGAATTCTATAAATATGAAAACACAATGGCCATAAGTGATATAAGGACATCACTGTGAAGTGGTTTCAGTATTAAATCAACGTCTTTGAAGAGGGATTTGTGAGAGGCTGTCTTGCTCCTTCCCTTCTTCCTCAGGGCTCATCCTGGCTGTGTGTCAGCAACCAGCTGCAGCATCCCACACCAGTCCGCAGCCCGACCTGGTTCTCGCTGGGGATGCAAGATGGAATGGAAAGATCATGTCTCTGAGAGCCAGACGGGGCCGGTCTCCACTCCTGCTCTGCTGCTAACTCGTTCTGTTCGGCGAGTTAGATCATCACCCAAGTGCTCAAAGTGCCAAGTGTTCATCACTTGCGTGGCTGTTGCTCAGATTAGTTTTGTTCTTACTGGCTGCCGCACAGTATTGAAAGTACTGGGAATTCTGAAAGGTACTTTTCAAAGTACCAGCTACAAAATGCTTTCTGCTTGGCCCTCTTCTCTCCCTCATTTTAAAAGGAAGAGAAACTTTTCTGACCAGAACAATTCTGGAAAACCTCCACGTTTGTCATTCCTCTACAACTGCTTTCTGTGTCATGGCCTTGGTCCCTTCTGTGCTCTCCGTCTCATCGCTGTTCATTTCAGCATCTTGCAGTCTACAAGTACCTGCGCACCATGTTTTATTCTGAACATCTACCTCCCAAAGCTCTCCTCTCCCAAGAGGAAATAGTCTTGAACTTACCAAATACATCAATCAAAATGGAACATGAATATATTTGAGAAACCATGTCCACATCATCTGAATAAAGGTGCCAATATCCCATGTATAGCACTTGTACTATCTTAAAGCAATCTTTCTACATCCATTTTTCTCTGATTCTATTCCTGCCTCCCTTCTTCTTAAAGAAACCTCTCAATAGTTTGGAAAAAGGGTACAAACTTTCAGTTATAAGATGAATAAGGTCTGAGACTCTAATATGTAACATGGTGACTATAGTTGACAAACTGTATTGTATAACTGAAACTCGCTAAGAGAATTTAACTGTTCTCATAAAAATATATATATATATATATGTGTGTGTGTGTGTGTGTGTGTGTATGTGAGGTGATGGATGTGTTAATTAACTAGATGGGAGGAATCCCTCCCTACTATGTGCATATATCAAATCATCACAATGCACATTTAAAATAGCTTACAATCTTATTTGTCAGTTATACTAAAACTGAAAAAGAGAAATTTCCAATGAAGAGAACTTTCATTCTGCTGTTGTTCAGTGCACTAAAGGCACATCTAGTTTATCACCAAGACTTGTGATTGCATCAAGAAATGTGACAACACATGAAAAATGCAAGCTGTGGACAGAACTGGCTTTTAGTTATTTGTGTGTTATTACTACCTGTGATTATCCTGAATTGTAAGTTTATCATTCTCTTGTAAATATATATATATATATTTGTATATATGTGTGTATGCTCATACATGTGTATATATGTGTGTGTGTGTTGTTTTTGAATTTTAAATATATATGTAGTCTCTGAGGCATGTTTATATCTACTAACATTACATTGGTAAGGCTCACCATGTTACATGTGGCCATTGTCCAGTTGTTTTCCCTGCAGCATAATATTCCATTGTGTGAATATACCACAGTTTTCTTGCCTCTGTTGATGGGTGCTGGGATTGTTTGTCCTTTATATTCTTCATCTATAAAATAGGGGAAAAGAAATCTTACCTCACAAAATGGTGAGTGATGTACATGGAATGATGAGTCTGTGCTTAGCACTGAGAATTAAAACCCTGGCCAACTCCTCTCTTGATTCTGAAATGAGATGGAGATCCCAACAGACTGATGATGGTACATTTAACTCCAACACCAACCTGTAGGAGAAGTTTCACTTTCCGCTTTGTCTAACGCCGTGCTTCTCAAACGGGTGATTTTTGTCCACCCCCTGGGATGTTTTCCATAGTCTGGAGACGTTTTTGGTCATCACATTTAAGGGATGCTACTAGCATCTAGTTGGTAGAGGCCATAGTTGCTGCTTAATATAATGTGAAGGACAGTACCCATGACAAAGAAATATCCAGCTCAAAATGTCAATAGTACTGAAGCTGAGAAACCCTGGTCTATCCTCTCTTGTGCTTAGAATAGCCCAAGATGAATCTTGAGGACAAGGGACAACCCTTCATTCTGTGTATTAAGTGTAAGGGATGACTTCTTCGAAAAGACTCTGTCCATAGAGAGTCTAAGAGGATATGTATAGAGTTTACAGTGTGTCTTATAGGGACTAGGAGAACATAAGCAAAGACTTTGCACAAGAAATTCAGGTTCCCTTCCTTATTATAAGTATGACTCACACACACACACTTGTTTTCATCCCACTGTGGACGCAAAGCCATCGGTTTCCTCCCCAGTCTCCCTGTATCCAAGTCCGTGCTACTCCATTAGGTTCTATACATCAAAGCCAGAGGTACATTCCAAAACCCAGTGTTATTCATGTCATTGCCCTGCATGTGGCCCTTCCATGCCTTCATGTCAGCCCTGCACCAAACCCAGATGCCTCTCTCTAGCATACAAGACCCAGTAAGAGCAGGTCACTATCTACATATCTAACCTTAGAGCTCAACACTCCTCCAAGCACACCTCTGCCCAAACTTTGATTAATAAACAGTGTGCTCACAAATCCCACTCATTTGGATATGTTTCCTCTGCCTGGAAAGTTATTCCTTCCTAGTTTCTAACTGGTTAATCCCTATTTGTACTGAAAGACTTAGCTGCAGTATCACAATTCCCAAGAATTCTTCCCTCTTTCTCTCCATGCCCTGCTGAGTTCAAAGTGTGCTATGTTTACATTTAGCCCGGTACTTAGCACAGTGGAATGTAGTGATGGTCTCTCTGCCTGTCTGCCTCCCACTGGAAAGTAGCTCCTTGAGGAGAAGGCTGAGACTTTTGTCTTCTCCTTCCTAGAGCTGAGCACAGTCCCTGGTACCAGCAGCCATCTAATGAAGCTTGTTAGGTGGATGGGTGGATGGATGGAGGGAGGGAGGAAGGGAGGGAGGGAGGGAGAGAGGGAGGGAGGGATGGATGGATGGATGGATGGATAGATGGATGGAGCGAGCTACTCTCAAAGACAAAACAAGTCAACTGATGAGACTATGGCATTAACAAGAAAGCAATGAGAACAGTATGTCCCTTCAACTTAACAATGTTTATTGGACTGTTAAATATCTCATGAAAGAAGTACCCAAGGAATATGAGCACACACTGCAAGGGAGCACACACATTAAACAGAAAAAATCTTATGTCAGGAAAGAGATTTAAGATAATGTGGCAAAGGAGCTCTTCTCAGCTTGATGGTGGCAGCAGACAGGAACCTAGAATGTTCTTGGTGCCTGGAGGCCTTCATTTGGACCACAAGATACTGACATTGCTAATGAGTTGTTTGAAGCATAAGTAGATGGCAAGTGATAAAGCAGAAAGAAAAAGATTCTAAGTTAGAATGAACTTTGGGGAGGGCAGTAAAGTCTTCTCTCTATTTGGAGGCTTGCTTACAGGAATTGGTGGGTCAAGGCCAGTTCAAGAGACAGCAGGCTGACTGGTTGCAGCTGCATGGGTGATTGGGCTGGTGGGCTTGGCCTTGGTGGGCTGACAGGGATCGGCACGTGAGACCTCTGCTGTGCAGGGCATTGAGTCAGCACAATCAGGAGGGCTGGAAGTGGACTTTTTGTAATCCCATTTGCAGGAGTCAGCACAAGGCAGGTGGGAGCAGACGGGGCGGTAAGAGATAGAAGTGACACAGGCCGGGCGGCGCAGGATGGAGTAACATGGGCGGAAGCAAGCAGGGCGGTAGGAGAAGGATGTCACATACGGCTGCCTGTAGGTGATGGATCTGGGGCAGCTTAGGCGGCAAACTGGGCGATAGGGAACTGAAGTCGTGCAAGACTGTTTGCAGGAGCTGGGCACGTAGAAAGTGCGAGAGCAAACTGGTTGGCAGATGGCAGATGCAGAAGACCCTGGGCGGCAGCAAAGAGATTGGAAGGAAGTAGATGGGCAGGAAACAGGCTCACAGCAGACAGACTGAGAGCGCTTGACTATGTAGCACACAGGCTGACGTGGCCTGGGCACACAGGCATTCGGTGGGCAAGAGCTGGGCTCAGAGCAGATGGGTTGGCAGATGCTAGAGACACAACAAGGTGGCTCTTGGCAAGTGCTGGGGCCACAGGGTGGCTCGCAAGAGCTGGGAACACGGCAGACAGGGCGGAAGCAGACAGGCTCGCAGACCAGAGCTGCACAGGTGGTGGGCTGGCAAGTGCTGGTCTCCGAGCAAGATGGCTCACAAGGACTGGGGTCACAGCAGACAGCCTGGCAGCTATTGGCCACAGAGCAGACAGATGGACAGCAGCTAGGTGTGGGGCACACCGGCTTACAGCAAGTGGTTTGTGGCTCACAAACCACTGGTTGGCAGGAACTCGGCACAGTGCAGACAGTTGAACAGCAGCTGGGCTCACAGACAACTGGCTGGCAGCAGCTGGGTTTGCACACAGTGGGCTGGCAGGGAGTGGGTACACAGAGGACCGGTTGACAGGAAGGGATCTCACAGCACACAGGTTGGGCACAGCTGTTCACGGGACAGGAGGGCTGACAAATGGTCACCTCGCAGCACACAGGTTGGGCACAGCTGCTCACAGAACAGGAAGGTTCACAAACGGTGGCCTCGTAGCACACAGGTTGGGCACAGCTGCTCACAGAACAGGAAGGCTCACAAATGGTGGCCTCACAGCACACAGGTTGGGCACAGCTGCTCACAGAACAGGAAGGCTCACAAATGGTGGCCTCACAGCACACAGGTTGGGCACAGCTGCTCACAGGACAGGAAGGTTCACAAATGGTGGCCTCGCAGCACACAGGTTGGGCACAGCTGCTCACAGAACAGGAAGGCTCACAAATGGTCGCCTTGTAAAATACAGGTTGGGCACAGCTGCTGACAGAACAGGAAGGCTCACATATGGTGGCCTCACAGCACACAGGTTGGGCGCAGCTGCTCACAGGACAGGAGGGCTGGCAGCATTGTGAGCCACAGCTAGATGATCCACAGCTATCTTGACAAGTCACCAGTTGCCACGTCTGGCTCCGACAGGAACTAGGCAGGCAGACAGGCCCTCTGCAGCTCACCTCAGTGGAGCAGAGTGAGATGGCTGGCACAGAGGGGCATTTCCTAGAATAGCAGTTTCCAGACATGGTGGAGGTGCCTCTGCTCCCTTGTGAGTGCTGAGAGGTTGCTGCTGACTGCGACAGCTCTCCGAGGCCCTCACTTTTATATCCCCTCACTGGCACAGGCTGTTTGGAGCCCCTGCATCTTTTCCTCATTGATGTTTGGGCCTGTTTTCAGAGGAACACCTTATTATGCCAAGGTTTGTTGATCTGGAAGTTGTTTGTCTACCCTTAAGAAAAACTGTTTATGTTTATTGACTTGCTAAATTTGGAATCCTCAGAGCTGCAGGTCATCTTGGAATAAGCATCATTGCCTCCAAGCTGAATGATCTGTGTTTCTGAACTCATGAACAGTGGAAGAAGAAAGGAACTTAGAATTTATCCACCTTCTAGTCCTCTGTACCAGATCCATTTTCATGGCTCTCTCTCTGATAGGCAGATAGGCATGCAGGCAAACTCACTGCAATGCAATAATATAAACTCAACAACAGACATACAGGGATTAGTAGAGAGGAGCAGTAGTAAACTCTGTGGGAGAGGGGCTATTTGGCTGGATTTTAAATGACTGTGCTTTACAACAATGGTCTTATTCAAAACCATCAGAATCCCATGAGACAGGGATTCATCTCTCCCCATTATAGGTGAACAAAGGAAGGGTGACTGGCAGACAGCTTGAGTTACTTGCTGAAGATCCCGCACAGCTTGCTCCCTAATCCAGGGCTGCCCTCCTTCCTCTTCACCATCCTATCTGCACAGACCTTTCTCAGAAGCCTTTGTCAAAGCCACATGTCACTGGCTCAGCCCACAGTGTTGTCCTCCATCCTGTTTGTGAGCAGCTGTGCCCCAAACCAACGGCTCTACCTGTTCCTAGAAAGCACTTGAACTAGCTTCTCTGCTTTTCCTCCCTCTTTTCCTTCCACCCACCCACACTACAAACATTCAATAGTTCTCCAGAGTCCTTGCCTTTGGTGATTTTAACAGTTCCTAAAGGAAAGATACCTCTAAGACCCAAAGACTAAAGATGAAAGACAAGGGGTCTTTTACAAAGATATTGTGAACAAAATTAAATAACACAATGCTTCCTCGGTGCTATGTCATTGCTACTGCTTGAGACAGACGTGAGATGACAAGTGAACCCTAGGTTTCCAAACACCAAGGCCTGATGGTCTTGCTCAGTGAAGACCCTGCCTTGCTTTCACCATGTGCTTTCAGCATCAGTGCAAAAGGCAGGCTCTCCTTTGGGAAAGCTAGACCATTGTGCCATCCATTCATCATCTATCTCCCTTCATTTATTAATTTTTGCAATCATTCACTCAATAGCTCTTTTATTCATCCACTCAACTCAGCCATCATTGGATTCTGTGTGAGGAATACAAAATGAATGAGTTGTAACTCTTGCCATGAAGAGTCCAAGTTTAGAAGAGAGACAGATACATACATAAGCAATTATGGTACAGTATATGTACAAGTGCTATGACAGATGGATGCATGAGGTCTTATGGGGGCACCCATGAGAAATACCATGGTTTTGGGGAAATTAGGGAAGGCTTCTCAAGAGCATGATACATTCAGGGGCAGCAAATAGTTCCACAGCCAGGATGAAAAGTATAAGGGGACAGACAGGGACAATGATAGGTTTAGAGGGGTAACAAGGCACTCAGTCATGAAAAGCCTGTGGACCATGATAAGAAGTTGGATTTTATATTGGCACCCAGGAATTTTAAGAAGGGAATAAGTTAACCAGTTTGCCCTTTGGAAAAGTCTCTCTGGCTGTGGAGAAGGGATTGGAGAAAGAGGGCAAGTCTGGAGGCAGGGAGACTATTATGGGTCTGGAGCTATTACCCAAAAGCTTCATGGTGACAACCCAAACTGGGCAGTGCCTTGGGACTGGAGAAATATGAGAGGTCCTAAAGAGGCAAAATCCATAGGGCTTAGTGGCTGAAAGTGGAAATTTAGGAACAGGAAGTGGTATCCTTCAGATGTAGCTCTCAGGCAATGAGAAAAGAGGATTTGGGGACAGCTTTATAGAAGGTAAAGCAACTCCCAAAACCCTGATCCCCACCTTTCCAGCTTCCCTCCATCCACCTTCTCTTCCTCAGCTAAACCAGCAATGAAATTCCAGATGGAGACAGCCCTCCTTCCAACAAGTCCCTCATAAACTCTCTCAATTAAGAAACTCATGTAGCATCATCTGTCATGCTGGAATGTCATCTCCTCAAAGAATCCTTTTCTGTTAGTGGAATAAGCAGCTCTTTTTAACTAGCCCATTCCTACTTTATTCTTTTTATAGCTCTTGTCTCCCTTGACATTATATAAGCACCATGAGGGCAAGGATTTTGTTTACTCACTGATGTATACCCAGCGCTAGAGCAGTGTTTGATACATAGGTGGATCATAATTAATATTTACTGCATGAATAAATGAGGACCATTGTGGACAGCTGGAAAGGACAACTCTTTGTCAGTAATTCAAAGACATCACTACCCTCTACTCACCCATCTGGGAGACCATGGCCTTGAGCACTGGAAGAATCAGCTGCTCTGAATCACAACTACTCAGTGCAGACCCACTGACCTCTTGGCAACTTTGTCCTGTTGGCATATGCTTTTGCTCTGGCTACGCCTTTTTCCTGGGGGTTAAAGAGTAGTTCTTAGGAGGCTAATTCCAATGCGGGAAAAAAATTATCTAAATAGTAGAATCTGAAACTGATTTAGGGCAGTCAAAACTTAAATTCTCTCCTAAGCAAGACACTACTAATACTGCTGGGTTTTAAATGAAACAAAGGAATGAAAACACAATGAGCTACCACTATATACCTACTAGAATAGCTAAAAATAAAAACTGACAATATCAACTATTAGCAAGGACATAGAGTAACTAGAACTCTCAGACATTGCTGGTGGGAATGCAAAATGGTAACCACTTTGAAATACAGTTGGGTAGTTTCTTTTTGTTGCTGTATATTTATTTTATTTATTTTTTTACTAAAGTATCATTGGTATACAATCTTATGATGGTTTCATATAAACAACACTGTAGTTTCAACATTCACCATTTGGGTAGTTTCTTATAAAGTCAAACATTCACTTACTATGTCCCCAGCAATCCTTCACCTAGGCATTTCTCCAAAATAAATGAAAACATATGTCCACACAAAAACTTGTACATAAAGGCTCATATCAGCTTTATTCATAATAGCCCAAAACTGGAAACAACCCAAATGCCCATCAGTGGCTGAATATTTATTTAATGCAGTTTATTCATACAATGTAATACTATTGAAAAGGAATGAGGGAGAATATATTCATAAATGACATATCCAATAAGGGGTTGATATCCAAAATATATAAAGAGCTCATGCACCTCAACAAGCAAAAAGCAAATAATCCAATTAAAAAATGGGCAGAGGATCTGAACAAATACTTCTCCAAAGAAGAAATTCAGATGGCCAACAGGCATGTGATAAGATGTGCCACATCGCTAATCATCAGAGAAATGCAAATTAAAACCACAATGAGATATCACCTCACACCAGTAAGGATTGCCACCATCCAAAAGACAAATGACAACAAATATAGCCAAGAATGAGGACAAAGGGGAACCCTTCTACACTGCTGGTGGGAATGTAAATTAGTTCAACCATTGTGGAAAGCAGTCTGGAGGTTCCTCAAAAAGATCAAAATAGAAATACCATTTGACCCAGGAATTCCACTCCTAGGAATTTACCCTAAGAATGCAGCAGCCCAGTTTGAAAAAGACATATGCACCCCTATGTTTATTGCAGCACTATTTACAATAGCCAAGAAATGGAAGCAACCTAAGCATCCATCAGTAGATGAATAGATAAAGAAGAGGTGGTACATATACACAATGAAATATTATTCAGCCATAAGAAGAAAACAAGTTCTACCATTTGCAACAACATGGATGGAGCTAGAGGGTATTATGCTCAGTGAAATAAGCCAGGCAGAGAAAGACAAGAACCAAGTGATTTCATTCACCTGTGGAGAATAAGAACAAAGAAAAAACTGAAGGAACAAAACAGCAGCAGACTCACAGAACCCAAGAATGGACTAACAGTTACCAAAGGGAAAGGGACTGGGGAGGGTGGGTGGGAAGGAAGGGATAAGGGGAATAAGGGGCATTAGGATTAGCACACATAATGTAGGAGGCAGGGCATGGGGAAGGAAGTATAGCACAGAAAAGACAAGTAGTGACTCTACAGCATCTTACTACGCTGATGGACAATGACTATAATGGCGTATGTGGTGGGGACTTGACAATGGGGGGAATCTAGTAACCACAATGTTGCTCATGTAATTGTATATTAATGATTCCAAAATTTTTAAAAAATAGCAAAAAAAATCGTAAAGGAATGAACTATTGATATCTGCAACATGCATGAATATAAAAAATGTTAGTTTATGTGAAAAAGTATTATTTCATTTATATGAAATTCTAGAAATGGCAAAAAGGGGTTGGAATGAGGCTGGGGTTGAAAGTGGGGAGGATTGCCTGCACAGGGACACTGAGGAATTTGAGGGATGACAGAAAGTTCTATACCTTGAGTGCAGTTATGGTTACTTAAATATACACAGTTGTCATGTCTCATCAAACTGTACACTAAAAATAGGAGTACTTCATAATATGTTAATTATATCTCAATAAAGTCTTATAAAAATTAAAATAAGATTTTAAGAAGGCAAAGAAAAAAACAGCATAATCCCAGTTTTACTTGTAAATATGGTTAGAAAGGAGTCTTGGAAGATACATAAAATCTTCCAAGATAATAATAAAATAATAAAATCTGAGTGGTGAGAATTCAGGTGGCTATTGTTTCTTCTTTATATTCTTCTGTATATTTTCAAATTTTTAGGGATCATTGTTATGCTTATAATTAGAAAAAAATATTTTTGTTTTATTTGTTGAATGAAACATGTCTTTGCAGGAATAAAAATAAATATTGTTCTCCCAGGGCATAGAGCAGAATTTGTTTAATTCCACATTTATCTTAAGATCACATTCATCAAGAAGGTGAATCAACTATCTTTGGAATTTTAACTCTCCAGCTGGACTCACATATGCCTGGGTCAGGCCCCACCTAGCAGATGGACACTTAACTTACCCTTCTCATCCCTGGGCCTCAGGAGAAAGAAATACACCTGGTTCCAGAACAAGAAAATCTAATCCAGAAATTGGCAACTTCACCAATGCATGCAGCTGGAGGAAGGAACTGGACTGCCCAGAACAGCCTTAGAACCTGTGTGCTCAGAGTTCTGCCACAAAAATCCCGTCCATTCAGAACTAAACTTGTTTTATGAAAGCATCCTCCCCTGGCTTTGCCAGAAAGTTCTGAGCGAAGCTGAAGCCCTCCTGCAGAACCCTTCTAGAACTGTAATGCCGAAGGAAGCCGTGCCCCTCCTTCGAAATTAACTTTGACCAACATCAACATTCATCCTGGAGCTTTTAAAAATGCAGGTTCCGGGGCTTCTCACCATAGAGCTAATGGACAAAAGCGGTGAAGCCCAAGGATCTATATTATAAATAAATAAATAAATAAACAAACAAACAAACTTAAAAGCCGTCTCAAGTGGATCTCACAGAGCACCCATAAGCTTTAGTGTGCCGGTGGAGTTCTTGTTAAAACACCCTTGTAGATTCTGCATCTGTGTGTCTCCGGGAGGCCTCCACCATCTCCATTTCATCTAGCCCCAGGTGATTCTATTGTTTGTGGAGGTGATCCACAAACCACAGTTCAAAAGACATATCATGGATGCCAGAGTAAAATGTTCCTGGCCCACTGCCCAAGAGGGAGCCAAGGAAGAGGCGGGAGAACTAATTTGGTTATGCCAGCGTGCTTGGATTTATTAAGAAGCTAACAAAGAGGAATTTTTGTATCTGAAAAGTGTCAGAAAGCTGGGGAGGAGGGGTCATTTCCAAAGTCACCTTGAATAAGAGGACGCCTTATCATGACCAGACATTCAACTTCTTGAAAGGAAAACCATGGGGATTCACCCTTTGAGCTTCCGGCACCACTTTGGGTGGGACCCGGTTTGTGGGCCTCACCAACGCCTGGCTCTCCTCCAGGCCTCCAGCCACCAGGGCAGGCGTGGAGAACAAGCCCTCCTCCATAAATAGCACGGGGGGCAGGCCGCGGTCCCCGGGCAGGAAAGGTCCTGGAGACAAGGGGTCTCCACCTGGAGCAGAAGGAGGTGTTCACTGGGCTGTCTGGGTGGAGGGACACAGGAGCTCATTTGGTGTCGCACACAGGCGCGGGCTGACAGCACACAGGTCCGCAGCACCCCGAGGGGCCGCAGCAACTGGATCCGCAGCAGCCGCCGCCGCAGCCTCCGCAGCCGGATCCGCAGCAGGAAGACCCGCAGCAGTCGCCCCCGCAGCCCCCGCAGCCCGAGCCCCCGCAGCCACAGCAGGACGCGCAGCAAGGCCCGCAGCAACTGCAGCAGGCGGGCTGACAGCAGCACACGTCACAGCAGTCCTGCTCCTGCGGGCAGCAGGCGAAGCAGTCCCCTGGGCAGCACCCCATGGTCCCGGCTGGACAGGCGCAGGTCAGGAACACCGCCGAGTTCCCCACATCTGACAGTGGCCAGCCAGGTGGCAGCTTTTATATTCCCCCACTGGAGGGTGTTGGCACAAGGCACAGGATGTTTTCTTTGTTATGATTTATGCCAGTTTCCATAAGAACATCTCATTAGCTGCCTATTTATTTTCCAGCCCGAGTACCTCAACTCATAAAAAAGCCCCACTCCTCCCAACAACTGTTTGTCTAGAGGGTAAAAATATATCTGTGAAAAGACCTGTCATCATGGCCAAGCAGAGGCCAGCCGTCAGAGCCCAGGCTGGAGAGAGGAAGGGAAACCTCCCACGGACTCCGGCTCCGGAAGGCGTGCAGCTCTTTCCCATCTCCAGTGGCAGGTTGGCAGCAGACCCCTTGGTCATGGAGGCCAGTCCGGAAAACCAGAATGGTCGAAACCGGAGGCCCTGTGCCTTCTCCCTCAGGCACACCGGCTCTAGAAGTTCTGGTCATGTGGCTCCTTCCAGGTGGAAATGGCACCCTCATGCCGGCCCTCGGGAGTGAGGCAGATGTGTGTGTGTGTGTGTGTGTGTGTGTNGTGTGTGTGTGTGTGTGTGTGTGGTGTGTGGTGTGTGTGTGTGTGGAGTGTGCCACACGTCACACGTTCGTTTGGGCTTGGGCAGTGAGCATCAATCATGAGTATCACTGCCCTGTGAAACCGGGAGAGACTCATCATAAAACTGCAAGGGGCTGGGAGCCCTGTTCTCTCCGGGCTGCACGGCGAACTGAACGCTCGCACGTCCCTCTAAAGGGGCTGGAAGACCTGTGGTCCAAAGCTGCACCAGCCCGCCCCAGGCCTTCCCTGGTAGAAGGAGGAGGAGGAGGAAGGAGGAAGAGAAACAAAAGGAAGAGAGGAAGGAAGCAAAGAAGAAAGGGAGGGAAGGAAGGAAGATCATTGAATATCCAAAACACTGCATTAAAATGTGCACTTTTAAAATAAATTCCAACCTTACAGACCATCTGGCGGAATGAGGGGATCAGCATACAGAACACCCAGAGAGCCATTCCAGGGAATAAATGCTTTTGGAAAAAGCCGAGATACTGCAGAGGATTCAGGTCCATGTGTAAATTCTGAAATGGGTCCGAATTCCCGTCATGGGGCTTTGAGCTTGTCATGTCTTGGAATGATAATGGCAGCCCCGGAGCCTGCAGCCTCAGCCCTCTGGAACGCAGCGAGCACCCAGGCGGGTGGAGACCTGGAGCACCACACACAGCCCCTGCTTTTTTAGTGCATCTTTTCTTTTCAGATGGGCCTGGAGGTCAGGCAGCCCCTAAGAAGAGCCAGAAGGGCTGAGAAGGTGGGGTGAGGGGATTGGCAGGTGGGGTGGCATGGGGTGGTGATGTTTGATGCGATGGTCAATACTTCACAGGATGTGGAATTTTAGAACTTGGAGGAACCCTAAGTCATCATGTGGTTCAGGGTTTCTATACCTGATTTTACGTTAAGAATTGCCTAGAATGGGGGCTTTTGAAAAATACAGATTCCCAACCCTCAGCCCAGCCCTGTTAAATCAGAATATGTGCTTCTAGGAGCTTGAGAAACTATATTTTAGGGTTTTCCAGATGACTCAGGTTATCAAATAGGATAGGTAACACTGGTACAGTTTAATGCCACCATGACCGTGCCCCTAAGCACCTTTTTTCTACAGAAGATGATACCAAGGCCCAGGGAGGACACATTAATGATAGATTGGGCCCCTAACTCAGATGTTCTGTTCCCTGGTCCAGCATCCTTCCACCACCCCACGTCCATAGATGGATGCCTCATACTGCGGCGATGTCCACGGCAGCACAGCCTCTTCGTCCTTGTTGGTAGCAGGTGATGCACTCCCCAGGAGATGCACAAGGGGGCATGCAGAGCGGTCTCCCTCCTCCCTCCCAGTCCCACCAGTCGGGCCCCTTGCCTCTACCCCACTCTCCCTTTGCTCCTGGTATTACTTAACCCCTCTGTGCCTGAATTTTTTCACCCATAAAACAGAAATTATGATAATAATAACAGTGCCAGTCTCATAAGGTTCTTGTGAAGATTAATTCAACATATATATAAGACACTTAGAACAGTGATTGGTGACCTACTGTTTGATAAGCATTAGCTGTTACATTACTTATATATAAGAAGGTAGATGTGTAGATATGGATATATTTTTGTTCATTACACATGGCAGCATGTTCCATGGTAGCATGATACACACACTGTTCTTAACTCTTCTTCCTCTTAACAAGGCCTCTTAGAGCTCATCCTGTAACAGTACATATAGAAGCATAGTATTCCATTGTACTGATTATTTATTTAATCAATTCATATTTCTAATGTTTTGCTATTATATTTAGTTTCAAATATTTTGCTAGTGTGTAACAGTGTACTTACACATGTCTTGATGTATCCCTCCCATAAATTCTTGAAAGAAAATGCTAGATCAATGAGTTTTTCATTGGTAATTTTCATGTGTGTTGCCAAATTCCCATTCATAAAGGTTGTACCAATTTCCACTCCCCTCAGTAACGTGTGAGAGTATCTGTCTCTTCATACTTTCCCATGCAATGTGTTATCAAAGTTTGTGACTTGCCAATGCAATAGCAGGAAGATAGGATCTTGGGAAAGTTTTACTTTGCATTTCTGTTAACTGTGAACATTTCATATGCTTAAAAGCTATTTATGTACCCCCTTCTGTGAATTATGTTTCCACATCCACTGTCCATTTTCCTATTAGTTTGTTGGTCTTTTTTTTTTTGTCTGATAGGAATCCTTTGTGAAACAGGAAATAAAAGCTTTGTCTGTATTATGAGTTATAAATGTTTTCCCCAGATTATTAGCCTTTAGCACTGTACTTAAATAATAATAATAATAATATTTACATTATAAATTTCAAGCCTGCTTACTGTGGGATTACTGAGAAATGCAAAAAACTAAAGACAAGAAAATAAAAATAATACAACCCCACAACAGAAATTTTTACTATGTATATTCTAATTTCCCTTTTAGTGTTTTTTTCCTAAAGATTTGCATATAAATACTGATCTCAGGTACAAGTTTCTAAATCCATATTCTAAAGTATGTTAAAAATATACTTTTGTAAAGCATTATCTACCACACACTGAGATAAATTCCTGATGGATAACAGCATTAAACATAAAATGCAAAAATATAAAAAAACATAACTATATAAACTAAAAGAAGTTTTTCTCTAAGACTGACAAACTATTTCAATCTTTCATTCCAGTTTATGGGGAAAGAAAAGTCAGTTCTGTATAAACTCAGAAATCATTCAGCACTTCTCCCTCCCCATCCTCCATCCGGAGGTGGTGTCTGAGGTGTCGGGAGCTTAGACAGTCTGACATTGAAGAGGAAGGCAACTGGTACACGTTGGACATCCAGGGAAAAGTTCATGGTCCTCTCTTACTCTCGGCCACCATCCTCCCTCTAGTGGCTCCAGCTGAGGTATTTGAGTTATCCCTGCTCTCCATGATCTTGGCACCCTTCCATCACTGGGTCCAGGAGACCCAAGGTCCTCCAACTGATCACCTATTATCTTCTGCACAGAAGTCCATTTTGAACTGCATCAGCCCAGCATTGCCTTGAGTCATCCTTTCTGTGTTTCCACAGTAATAATCCCACCCTGGGGACAGTGAATATAGAAACCCTACTGGAACCCAAGTTATGAGAAAGGAGTAGCTGTGAAAGAAATTGCAAAAGAAAGATAAGACTATCTTTTTACAAAATTGAAATCTTTCTGTGTAAATTGATTTGTACACTGAATATTGTGTTTCACCTGAGAAAATGCTCATGAATATGTTAATTATTAAATATTAAGAAAATTAATTTTATTTTCAAATTAATGCAAGCCTTCCCTGGTGTTGGATGTCTAAATTTCCAATTTTCCAATATTCAAAGCAAAACACCAAGGTGAACGAACTTTTTTGATGTGTATCTTTGTGCCTCTTTATTATCTCCCTTAAATAAATCCCTAGAAATACAATTACTGTATCTTCAGCATGTTAATAATTTTAAGGCTATTAATAAATATTAAAAAACCATCCTCCAGAAAAAGTTGTTTACATTTGTGCCCACAGTGCCAGTGAGACAGGGACCATAGATGTAGTCAGAGTAGGGTGAGGGCCTCCAGAGGGGGCAGGGCAGGATATCTGTAGTCAGAGCAATGTAACTACATGCAAGGAAACCCCCCCTGCTAAAACTCTATGTTAAACATTGAGCTCTAGAATCATTCTTCAGTGAGATCAGTTAATGTTCCCCAGATAAAGAAGAGCAGCACATGTTTTATTATGCTAATCATTTGTAACCATGTGTAAGATTCACTTTAGCATGCTAAAAGGCCCAGGCCTCTGTGCTGTCTTTCCTCCTTCAGATCTGACAAGGTGATTTTGCAAACTGAGCAACTAAGCATGCAGACCCAGCTGTAGACGGCAGGGTAAAAGGCAGGAAGAATTCCATCTTAAAGATAAGATTGCATCTTAACACCCAGGAAGTTCAAGAGGCAAGATTCTTTAGCAAGTACACAATACCTCAGCCCACCTTGGGGGCTGGGCAGGCAGCCTTTTGATGTGCTCTCGGACCAAGGTGCCGGTGTCCCAGAGAGAAATCAAGGCAGGAAATTCCTTACAGTGAAGTTAATTTTTAATATTCAGGAACCACTAACAAGTCCCCACTCCTAAGTTTTTTCATGTTCTCTAAAAATCCTCAACTGCCTATAAAACCCCCTTGACAACGCACCACTGCAGACTCTCTTGTCCCCTCCTGGCGTGAGCGGGGAGCTCTGTCCCTTCACTTTATCTCTAAATAAAAGCCTGTACCTTGCTCTCCTACCTCGAGTGTTTGTGAGGCTCATTCTTCAGCTCCGTAAACAAGAACCCCGGCATCACCTTCACCAATACCAATTATTATTTTTAAATCCCTTTGTCAAGAGATTTGTTGTGATTGACAGTCCAGTCATGAA